GACTACTGTTTCTGATGAGATCGGCTAGTTTAAGAGATGACAAAAACAGTTTGATTGTTTAGAGATGTTAAGTTGATTGATCGATGCTGCTTGAAGTGGATCTCGGCCCATTTGAGCTATATAACTCATGCCTCAGGTGATTCTGAGAATGACTATGAGATTTCCACAATCTTTTGTTGGAGAATAGCTTTGATTTGACCAACCTCAGCTAAGGCTGTGAGGGAAGTAAATGACTAACGCCTCTCCACTTGGTGCACTGCCTGACATTTCCTTGGATATGTAACTGAGGAATGAGGAGCTTCAGTGTCTTGATAGTGTCTTGGACAGATAACTTATCATTAAGTTCTGTCAGTGGAAAGCCTTTCCTTAATCTGTTTTTCTACTTCATTTGGAATGATCTATCAGGTCCCATCTTCAAAGGGAATCAAAATCTGTGTCCTATGCTCTAAGTCCCTCTGTGTCTGCTGGTTCTCAAATGAGTCAAGGAGAAATGGGCAACCCTAATTATTCTGGAGTGGGTCAAACCCAGGATAAGAGGAAGTCAGATTGCATTTAGAGGCTAGGAGGGCCTGAAAACTTTTGTTAGTGACAACAATTTTGGAGTAGTAAAATTACTACTAGTGCTTATACAACCTGTATGAGAAAAGAGGTGATAAAAGGAACAGTTCCAAAGAAAGGGCCACAGCTCAATTCCTCTCATATGAAAGCACATAAGGGGAACAAAATGATATGAAGCAATCAAATGCACAAAACTGTCAGGCTAGCTCTTGTTCTCAAGTTTCTCTACTTTCATTTTTAATTGAGATTTTAATCCATTTACTGGTTGTGACCTATGTTCCAAATCTTATACATTGAAGGTTATTTCCCTGTAGTTACTATTCTGTATATTTGGAAATTTACACTTGAAGTTTACTTTCAAATGGTTCAGGTAACACACACACATGCAAAGGCACACATACACAGTAGCAAACATCTAATATTAACAACTGCTGAGTCTACATAGTGGGCATTTATTGTACAATTCCTTTAATTTTTCTACATGTTTGAAATGTTCATTATAAAAAGTTAAAGAGAAAACATAAAAATATTTACTAAGCTAACTATTCACCTGAGGGAGCCTTTAAAACTCCTAATGTCAGAAACTGTGGGGCTGGAACTCAGTCATTTCTAGTTTTAATGTGGAAACAGGGTGGTGCAACAATCACTAATACTTTATAGAAAACTAATGACTTCATGAGAAGAGATCTGTGCTTAAAAGTAGAATATTTAAGATCACCATGAGATTTAACATAGTATTTAAAAGACAAGCGGACAATTTGAGAACCACTAACCACAAAGAAAGCACAAAATATTTTGACAAACTAGCAGCATCACTGTCAAGTTAAAAAAGTGTGTAAATACAATGGAATATTACTCACAACCAAAAAAAATAAACACATGCCTTTTGCAGCAACATGGATGAGGCTGGAAAAGATCATGCTTGGTGAAATAAGCCAGAAAGAAAAGGAAAAATACCAGATGTTTTCACTCACAGCAGAAGTATAACGGACCAGGTGAGAAAATAATAATAATAATAATGAACAGCTATATGCCAGAGACATTTTATGGGGGTGGGATGGGGAATGGGATCAAAAACAGTGGGGGGAGGGAAATGCACTGGACTATGGTGATGGCACATGGGTGATTTGGTGATGGGAAGCCCACGGGGATTACAACTGAGATGAAAAAATGCACAAAATCATGTAAAAATAAACTACTATATTATTTTTAAAAAAAGGTTAATAGAAATAAAATGCTTTAGAGTACAAAAAAAGTGTAAATAAATTGGTAACATTGGAAAAGCAGGTATAAATTGTTATAAAAATTTAAAACAATGTCACAAATACTAAATGAAATACTATATTTCCCCATTTTTACATTTTGTGGCTAGCATATAAGGAAGAATCTTGGTGCTTTGTTATTGTGGATTGTAATGATCAAACCTTGGCTTCGATTTGTCGGTAGCAAGAAATGCCATATATTGTGGCTCCATTTCCATTTCTAGGTGGCAAGTGAAAAAACACGGTATCTAAGAGACAGACAGAAAAATGTAAATACCAAGGTGAATTATCCTTATTAATAAATAATGTTAGTTTAAAAAACGTGATGAAACACAATGTTGTAAACCAGTGTTACCTCAATTAAAAAGAAATGATAATACAAGGAACACATGGCATACTGATTTCCAGAATCACCCACTGGTTTCTTAGAATTCTTTAAGGCCTTATAGTGCACACCATTCATAAAAAGCATAAGAAGCTGAATTGTAACAGGTGAAATTGAGACTACAATTACTTATTTCAAAATACCTGTTGAGAGTTATTTCAGATTATGAGAAAGTAGAGAGACATAAAAACCAAATGCAACATATGAACCATGAAAAAAATTCAAGAAATTCTTAGAACAACTGAGGAAATCTGAACCCAGACTGGATAATAAATATTAGAATTCTAGAATTACTGCTAAATCTTTTGGCAGTAAGAGAGGATGGTATTAGAAGTTATTCTGGGAGTGATCTTACTCTTTGAAGATGCATCGTAAGTACTTAGATGTAAAGTGTCATGATGGTTGCAACTGCCTTTCAAACAACACAGGCAATGATAATATAAACACAAACATTAAATCAGAAAAAAAGATCTGTGAAGTTAAAAACATTATATTTAAATTCTGTTAATCTGCAGTGTTTTAATTACCACTTGCTTCATTTAATTAGAAAATTACTAAATGTTTCTTAATATTTAGTCAAACTCTTAATCAAACCAAATGTTTTCGTAGACTCTCTCTTACGATACTATAGGTAAAGTCTTTCTGTTAGCCAACTGAAACCTTTATACAGTGGTAGGAGACTCAGCACTAGCTCCACTTCATTGCTTTGCAGTGTTAACATGCTCCACAGGCATGCAACGGGCAGAACACTGGTATGGCAAGGACTGTAGGGGTGGGGAAGCAATCCCAGCCATTTGCAGGTGGGTAATAGAACTTAAACTAGTAAATTTGCAGCTAAAGCCCTAGTTAACCTGCAGCTGGCACAGCTCTTTAGGTACCTCTGAGAGGAACCTAAAATGCAGGAAGTACTATCACAAGCAGATGCCCTAATCTGGCTAATCACTTACGTTATGCAGTGCTACTGGCAGGAGTGGCTAAGGTTCATTGGTCATTACCAGCAGGAGCTTGAATTTCTTTAAAGATCTTCTAGTCCATGCCCAGTCATCCCCAATGAAGAATTTAAATATTTTATAACCAGCCAAAGGCCTTTTATTTATCAAAGTACTTACAAGACATCTTAATGTCCTGGCAAATTAAAAAAAAAATTAAAAAAGGCACCATCTCATTATTCCACTGTTTACATACCTTCCTGGTAGTTGTGCGCACCATCTGGTAAGGCAAGGAAGGGCAAATACTTCCATTCTTCAGGTAAAGTGTGGCTGTCATGTCCATCTCCTGGAATCAGGGGCGGGTAAGAGAATTCAACCTAAAATGGTAAGGAATGAGTCAAAAGGTTATTGATCAACATTGTACTGAACAGAGCAGAGGCTCAACAAAGGAAGTTGAGAAGTTGAGCCAAGATCCTGGATTGCTTCCTATAAATAAATGGCTTTCTTGTTCATAATACTTGCAGTTTTGAGCTTATGGTTTGGATGGGGCCTGCATAAGGTAGGTTAAATATTAACCAACATTTCAGGTGTTTTATTTGAGACTGAGAATTGATCACTGAGAGTTTTAGTTTCTCCAACACTGTTCTCAAAAATTTACTGAGGAGTAAGCCCAGTCATATTTGTATCTGTGGGGACTGCTATATGTTTGATCTGTATGCTAACAGCTTGATTTAGTGGTTCAATTAGTTGTGTGGTTCTCTGACAATAAATTTTTGAGTTAGCTGCCCTACTTCTAGGCCCCCTTTCTAGGTTCAAGCATTTACTCCCCTTTCATTTTGAAATAAGAGTATTTATCTTCTAAATAGTCAAAACATTTTAGGCACCAAAGTCAAACAAAACATCAAATCTCACTACATGTCTTAGAAGACATTTCTTCTAAGTTGTACTTTCCCAAATCTCTTGAAGAGTCAACACTGCTCAAGAAATTAGTTAAGGTGTTAAGTTCAGACTTCTCTAGGAGATGGGATCTCAAGTATTAGCTTTTTTATTCTCCTCTATTTTCTCACTTTTCTACTACACTGAGTACATACTATTTCTCATCATAAGAAATATCTTTTTAAGTGTTCAATAAAGGTTTTTTTTTAAACACTGTAAGATGTTATTTTTATAAGTCAGGAGAAAGATAAATACTGATGATTTCACTCATGTGGGATATAAAGAAACAAAACAAAGGATAGACAAAACTAAATTAAAATAAATCCTAGATATCTGAGTATAGAATTGATTTTACCACAGGGGAATAAAAAGGGGGGGTTATATTGGGGGATTTTAGATGCTCTGGTGGTGGGTGTGGTGTGATAACATACCTTCAAAGAGGTATATCATACACAGTGTTGTAAACTAATGTTACCTAAATAAAATACAATTAAAAAATAAAAATAAAAAGGAAGTTATATTTAAAATTAGAATGTGTTTTATCAAAAATAGCAATTTAAATTACACCCTCTAAAAACACACTATAGGGCCCTCCCTGGTGGTGCAGGGAGTTAAAGCACAGCACTAAGAAGCCAAAGCCACTTCAGCATGAGTTTGATCCCGAGCCTCAGAGGCAACTCGACCCACATGGCAGGGCAGGACCTCTCCTGACCTGCCTGCTGCTCCCCTCAGCAGCATACTTCGATGGTCTGACTGCCCTGCTCCCCACTCTGTCTCTGGTGAAGCCTCTCACAGCCCCTACACCTCTGGCCTGTACCCCAGTTCTGTATGCATAAATAAATCTTTAAAACACACACACACACACACACTAGAGAGAAACCAAGTTTTAATGTGATGGCATTTAATGACAGTATATAAAAGAGAATCTTCATCACAAGAGAAAATGGCTTTCACCATGTGATATATGCAAAACCCTCTAATCTTCTGCAGAGCACCTTTGTAACAGGAGTCTACATGGACTTAGTACATACTACTGCCTAACTGAGTAGACTGCTGAAAGGCAATAGTATCAACCTAAAGGTCTACTTTGGTCCACTTGCATCTACAATTTACAAATTACAATCAGGTATGGTGATTTTTCACTACAACCCAGCACATGGAAAGAACTGGTGATCAACAACATTCTTAACACTTGGAAGAGCAGGCTAAAAAAAATACTCACACAACCTAAAATCTCTTAAGTCAGTGCCTTGCATTTTTAACCCTTTACACCTGGAAATAAAATCTTAAAAATATAGAATGCAGTAGCTAATTAATTCAGCTATTGGGGAAAATCTTACATAAGTTTATGAAACACTTGATAAAAAGGAACAGCAGTCTCTAGACATTTTATGTAACATACATTTTCCAAAATATGAAATATATCTGGATATTGAAGGCTTAAGAAGTAGAGTTGTAGGACAAAAGACCCTGATTTAGAGCATCCTTTAAGAACTAATATAATGTATATTGAAAAATTTTAGCTTATATTACTCCTTTTTACCTGGTAAAATTGACATTTGTCTTGACAACTGACAACAAAAGGAAAAAGCAGGGAAACCAAAAAAGAAAGAAAGAAAAAAGTTATTTCCCAATACAATCATACATCTACTGAACATCCTACTCCAGCTGGATGAACTGCCATGAATTTATACAAATCATGTTTTCAGCAAAAATTTTTTTTTTTAAATTTTTTGTTTTTAACTGAAGTGACCTATTAATTTCAACCAACCTAATGTGAGAGACTTTTTCATTGTTGTGTGAATGGACTGTGTTAGAGCCTTTAAACATAATCTGATTAACAACACAGAGGTCTCCAATGAAACTTTTTTACTCTAGTGCTCAACCACCCTTAACTTTATTTAGAATCCTGGAATTCTAACATTATCTATTCAGTCAACCTCCACTAGAGGGATAACACAAAATTAACAGAAGGTTACTAGTAAGCCAAAATATTTTCTAGTAATAGTTCCATTAAAATGATAAATGTTTGACTTTAAACAAAAGTTACAGAATACACGATAGATACATCTAAAAAATCATCTTTTTACTCACTGTTTATTTTGGCTTTGATTAGCTCTAACATTCTCTAGTTTGATTTATAAAACCAGGTTCTCAGTTCGTTTTTTGCTATAAGAGGAAGTGTAGTTAAAAAAATTTTCTTTTTAAAAAAGATTTATTTCATTTATTTATACATACAAGAACTGGGGTGTAGGCCAGAAATGTGGGGGTGAGAGGTTTCACTGGAGACAGTGGGGGGCAGAACAGACAAATTGACTGAAATACACTGCTGAGGGGAGTAGTGGGCAAGACAGAATGGGGTTAGTTATGTGGGTTAGCTCCCAGGCCAGGGGTTGAACACATGATGCTGTTGATAGCTTGATAATGCTGAGACTTAACCCTTTGCACCAAGAAGGTCCCAAAAGCTGCTTTCTTTCACTGCACAGTAACAAGCCACTTGCGTTTCTGAGATAAAATGACCCATACTGGGTTTCTCATCTTGTATTGCATGTGGCAGAACCCTTTACATTTTACATTTGTTCTTTAATAGAAACTGAGGTAAGTAGATACCGAAAAAGGTATGTTTATTAAAAAGATAATTGCCTGGGCCCTCCCTGATGGCGCAGTGGGTTAAAGCACAGCACTAAGAAGCTAAAACCACTTCCACATGAGTTCGATTCCCGCCTGCCACGGAGGAGATCCACATGGCGTGGCAGACCTCTCCTGACCCACCCGCTGCTCCTCTCAGCAGTGTACTTCGTTGATCTGCCTGTTCTGCTCCCCTCTCTCTCTGGTGAATCCTCTCACCCTCCATATCTCTGGCCTGTATCCCAGTTCCATATGAATAAATAAATAAATCTTAAAAAAAAATTGCCTGTGTCTATGAAATACCATGTGAATTACAAAATACACACACACGTATGCATATATGGTATAGCACATACTTTTCTAGTCTACTATAAAGGACAACAACATAAAACTGCTATTAAAAATTGAGTTATACAACTATACCAGAGACAATTTATGAGGGTAGAGTGGGGAATGGGATCAAAAATGGGGGGCGGAGTACACTGGGCTATGGTGATGGCACATGGGTGATTTGGTGAGGGGAAGCCCATGGGGATTACAACTGAGATGGAAAAAGGCACAAAACGATATAAAAATAAACTATTATAAGAAAAAATGGAGTTATAAAGACTAGGGATCTCTGAGGTTCATTGTTAGCGCTGACAGAGTTCTTAATCAAACTTTACTCAGGCTCCTCTGAATTTGCTTCTCAAATAGGCCCTGACTTTGGGCTTTTACATCAGTCTCAATTTCAACAAGAATCCTGATAGATCACTTTTAGCCAGAAACCATCTGATAAAATAATTTCCCACCTATGACCCCTCCCATGCTCCCTGGCTATAAATTCCTACTTTTCCTTGTTACAGTTGAAACTGAGTTCAGTTCTATATAGAGGATGCTCCCTCACCCCCACTGTAATAATTTTTTCTGAACGAAATTTATTTTTATCACTTTAAATACTGCTCAGCTTTGTTCTTACCTTGATATCATCAAACTAGCTAAGCATGCATAAGTACGTAAGTAATTTAACCTTTCTGGATTTATGTTTACTTATCTAGGTAAACTGGAAAAGTCATCTCTAAGGATCCCTGGCAGAACTAAAATTCTCATGATAAAATCTGGTAGAGGAAAATGAGTTTCACAAAATTTAAGCAATTTAGATTTGGTGTAGGTCATAGGAGTTGTGTGAAGTCAGATCATCACGCAAGTCTTGTTCTTATTATGTCTTCATTTTACAAAACCAGTTACCTTTACCTCATTACTAAAACCAAAAGCCAGACCAATCTAGAGAAATATGGCACCCAAATACTTACTTGAGCCCAAAATACTCCTTTAATCTTACAATTTTTTTAGTCTTCTTTTACCTGTAATTTTGCACTTTGTTTAATAAAGTAACTGACTTCTCCTTTCGGGAAATATAAATTATATTACTTTCTTGTCTTTAAAAGTGCAATTCAGTTTGGTTCTGTGGTTAGCTTCAACTTACTTGACCCATAAGGACTCTGAAATGCCACATGGCCTGGCAGAAAGAACACATATGGTTCCAGAAGCAGTTCCAAGTCTGAGTATAGGATACTTTGCAGTATCATCTCAGCAAGATCATTTTACTTTCTCCTACTTTAAGTTACTTCACCCATGTCCAAAGTAAATTATAGGGCCTTTCTGATGGCTAGGGGTTAAGTCTCAGTATAATTACCAATAAGGTGTAGTTGGATCCCCACAAAGGGAACTGACCCACGTGGCAAAGCAGACCTGTTCTGTGTGGCATGCTGCTAGCTTCAGCAGTGTATTTCAGCAAATATGGTTGTTCTGTTCTCATCTCTGTCTCTGGTGAACCCTACCACAAACAGAACTTCTAGCCTATACTCCAGTTCTACACTAAAAACAAAGTAAATTATAAAGTGACTATTAAGATCAAAGATGTGAAATTTTAGAATATTACAAATGTAATGATGATGAACACTGTTTGCATGCCATGGTACAATCTGAAAGATCTATTCCCTTACCTATAAAAATGATGACCATATTAAAAAACCTACATCCTAATACTACTTAGAATTTTTCAATATCACACCGGATAATGCCTCTATCCATGGTATCTTTGTATGTTATTTTTTACCCGAGGAACAACAAATACATGGTAATTGAAAGTTAAACAACCTTTAAAACACAAACAGCGATTTCATTATCATTCCCTTTATCACTTTTCTATTATCAACCTCTAATGGACTTAACTTTTGCAAATAAAAGTCTTCTAAAATGTTACATTTTCTGTGAAATGCAAGAAGTCAAATGCGACACTGACAAGAGGTAGAAATCCAGATCTTTAATGCTTTTAAAGCATTTCGATCTACAATTCACCCGCATATTATGACATCATTGCCTTCCAGTGTTTGCTCTCATTAAATAATCCTATTCCTGTTTTGTTTCCCTTGGCTTCAATACAGACTGCAAACGTTCCGTTTACAATTTCTGGAAATAAACTTGAAAGCGATGACTAGCCCATTTCTTTGCTCCGTAAATACATTCTTAATGCAATTGATTCGGTGAGGTCAATCTCTCACCAAAAGGCAAGATCTGGACAAGGTTAAATATCAATAGCAAAATCAAGGCCCAATGGGGAGGGGGGCGGAGTCAACAAACCTCCCCAACAGGACGGATTCTAGGGCTTCCACAGATAAACAAAGGAAGTTGATTTTCCCACGACGCCGCGCGTGCTTCAACCAACCTGAGGCATTTGTATGGAAGCCCATTGAGCCCATTACCTTCAGAACGAAGCCCAAGAGCTGGATTTTACTACAGGCTGTCGTAAGTGGACACCCGGGAGATCAATGGAAACAGATGGATGGGGAAGAGAACAGCGAGGATTCGTTTCACTCACTCCCTCAAAGAACCTAAACACCTAACAATCCCAACATACCCTAATACATAACTCCTCCGCGGCTCAAAACAATCATGTTCAATACAGGAGAGAGAGGGAGATATGGGGGATTGGACTTGAGGGGGGCGAGTGCGAAGAGCTGGTAAGTCAAAAGGGCTCAAATGGGAAGAATGAAATAGTGGAGGCTAGTGGGCGTCCGCAAGGTGCAAGTGCGGAACAGCCGACGCGGATGCAAGCCCCCTCACTTCCTCACCTGACAGCCCTTCTTGTGGTGAAAACCGACCACCACGATGTGCAATACGGGCCCTCGGGGGGCGCCATCGCCGCCTCGCCCGGCCTTCTCCATGGGCGGCCACCGAGGGCCCGCAAGAGTACGACTTCAACCGCCAAGGGCGGACGGCGAGCGGCGGACCTCAGGTGTCAGAAAGGCCGCCGCATGAGGGCCGAGCACCGGGCCGGGAGGAGGCCGAGGCTCCCGCAGCTCCGCGCCGCCCCCCGGCGCCACGGCCGCCCTCCCGTCATCCGCTTCCGCAGTTTCCGGGGCTGTCACCTGATGCCGCGGGCGGGGCGGGGCGAGGCGGGGCAGGACAGAGAGACCTGACGGGGCGGGGCCTAACGGAGAGGGGCGGGGCCTAGTGGGAGGAGTGAAGTAGTGAGGGGCGGGACTTCTCTGGGCAGCCTTCCTCACTGGTCTCCAGGTACTATCTCCACCTGCTACCGGCTCTGCCCGCTTTCTTCTACTTTCTTAAAATCTCCACCTCTTCCTTTCTTCAGCTTTCGTTATTTTTAAACGTCTTTGCTGTTCACTCTCGAAATTCCTCCACTTTCATTTCTGGCCTATGGTCTCTCCGTTCTTTATGCTTTAATATTTGGAAAACATAAGGCACATGTTACAACTGTATATAGTTTCTTCAACATTTAAAGCATTGCTTATTTGAGATTTCAGCCTTTTTTCAGGTTTCCTCCCTGATTATAAACTTTATAATCAAGTTTAATTTCTATGATTGAGTAAATGTGTTAATGCTAATAAAATTACAGTAGAAACCTTTCAAAATGTTTCTACCATTTCTATTCTATATTAAAAATTCTTGGTAATTACTCAGAACTATGTATGAAACTATATTCTTCCTTGTGTGCAGACCATGTTACTCTTTTATTTAATCTGCCTTGATAGTTTGCACAATTAAAGATTAATTGAACATCTTTTTAAAAAAAATTAAGGTCAGAGCATTTTAGAACTCTCTATGTGCAGTGAGTGCCAGCTGTTTAAGTCAGAGTGCAGGAGTGTCAGGAACAACTTTATAAAAATCTGTGTCACTTTGCATCCTAGAGCTTCCAACTAGGATTAAGTAATTTATTCTTTACTGTTATGTTGCTTAGCTTTTTAGAAAATGTTATTAAAAATGATGCTATAATGAAAAAGTATTACTGAGAAAACTGGGACAGTAAGTGAAGGAATTTCCAGAAAATTTACCATCTCTAAATAATGGGCTACATAATAGTGTGTTAACATTTTTTATATTCATTTTAAATGAGTTGTGCTAATGTATAATAAGTTCATTAACAAAATAATACTTTTAGGGGCAATTATTTATTGAAAAAGGAATAGAAATTCTTCTTTGTTTTAAAAAGAGGTGGAAGAATATTATCAAGATTGAAAATAACAATTTGAGATGACAGCATACTTGATGTTTTGAAGGAAAACTTTTGCTTGTACTTTTATGATGACATATATTTCCAGAGGAAAAATTAGAAATGCTTTTCTTAACACATAATACATTGAAGACTTTCTACTTATTACATGTATATTTATATTCATTTATTATAAGTTCTATATTCTGCCTGCTCTATAATAATAATGAAGGAAGAAAAACCCTGGGGACATAGAGAGATGATGTTTTCAACTCCATTGAAAATGAACACACCATCTGGAATTGGCCTATTGGTTTTTTTTTGTTTATCCCAGGAATGAACAAGAAAGTAAAATCACTTCCCTCCTGCAATTTCCAATAACTATAAACTGTGTAAATGAACTGTATCTCCTTTTTCAGACTATAAAGACTTTATTCCTCATGAGCATTATTGAAAATTGTTAATGCTTATTTGTTCTTGTAATGAAAAAGTTATTGCTTCCTTAAAACATTTTTTTCTGATTTTTAAACCCTATCAAGTAAAAATAATGCCTTGAATTTGGTCCCTCTAGTCACTATAGCATGGTGAAAAGAAAGTAAGAATAGAGCTAGAAAAGAAAAACTAGCAATAGAAGAGGAATTCACAATCAAATATGGCTTTGCTTTGACATTAGAATCTTCTGGAAATTATGGAGAATGTTGATGGGTGTCTATGAAACAGTGATAATTAATTTTTTTCATGTTCAAATATTGTTTTTTTCTTTTTCTTTTTTAAATTTTATAACAGTTTATTTTTACATCATTTTGTACATTTTTTTT